TGGTGTTTGTTGTTCTGGTAATTAGGGTAATAGTAATGATGATTACCTTGGTGTTGCAGCACTGCAGATTACTGGTGGTGGATCCCAGTTGCCGGGCCGCTGGTGGGGGGTGTCGTCGGAGCGGTGATCTACTTCCTGTTGATCGAGCTTCATCACTCCAATCACAACGACACACCACAGGAGGAGCCTGAGGAGGAGGAGGATGAGGATGAAGAAGAGGACAGCAGCCTGAAGGACAAATACGAGATGATCAACATGAGCTAGAAAGCGCAGTTCAGGATGCAGCAGTAGAATAAACCACTCGTCCTCCTACTGAAGTAGTTTACTAGACACTTCACAGCTCAGATGTGCTGTTTTACACTGAAGGACTCATGTAAGCACTTGAACACAGCTCAGTCTTCTGTCACGCTGGCCCACAATCCTCCACTGCACCGCAGGACTGATGTTACTGTGCTGCTGATGGGACTTGACGGTATACTGAACCCGCAGCAGGCATTTACTCTCCTTTAACCATAAAAACTGCCCGACTCTCAAAAATCAGCAACAAATGTGTTTCTGGACACACAGGCGGTGTGTATTGGACCGTTAGGGTCAGCGTAGGGTTAATGGCACTGGGCCAGAGCAGCGTTTCTCTAAAAAACATCCGCAACTGTTTCCCATTAGACCACTATTGACCTTCATGCTTCATTTCAGTTGTACTTCACCATGTTGTCATGTAGATACTGTTGTGCTGATCGTGTTTATGCTCGTGTGTGTGTGTGTGTGTGTGTGTGTAGATCCTGCTTGTTTTATTAACTGTTTGACTCTGAGATTGCCCAGTAGATCAACATCTTTTATAATGACTGACTGTACATTTGTGTGTGTTTTGGCTGAAATAAACCAGTTTTACAGCAGATGTGTTTGGATTGCACACACACACACGCGCACACACACACAAACACGTTCACTTCATGTCTGGACAAATGTTCTGCTGTCTACTAAGGGTGAATGATGGATGAGGACTTTGACGTGTCAGGATATTCATCTTCATCACAAACACACATACACACACACACACACACACACATGCGCGCGCACACACACACACACACAGAACCCAATACTCATATCTGTGTGTTCAGTGAGAGTGTGTGTGATGTGGAGGAATGTTCTCCTCAGTCTGGATGATGGAGCTTCGGTGTTCTTCATCGTGTTTCTCTGATTCTCCATGATGAGTCTGGATCTTTAATTTCACTAACACACTGAACTGATCCTTTACTCTGGGTAAATGTTGCTTTCACTTTGCTCTTGCGGTGAGTTTTAACAAGTGTTGACTCGAGCTGAGTGACGGATATCTGCTGACTGTAGTGAGCTGAGGCGTTCAGCTGGAACAAAGGCTCTTTGTGTTCCTGCAGCTCCATAAACAGAAGAGCGGCTCTATCAAACACGCCAATCTGAGTCTGAGATCTCCGTCAGCTTGTTTACCAGTCCTCCGGTCCTCTCTGAAGTGCTGCAGCAGTGTGGGGAGTCCTCACAGACAGACAGAGTAAAGCTGTGAGCCGCCAGACTCTGGAGCAGCTTCAGCACAGCAGTCAGACAGCAGCGAGTCAGAGCGGCTCTTCAGATCAAACACACATTCACTACAAG